GACAGGAATGTAGCAGTGGTGTGACAGATCTCAAAGCCATCATAACCATGATTGGTCCAAGCACTGTGCAGAACTGAAGGAACAGACAATCTCTGCAGTGTTTGGGACTTCCTTTCATCAAAGGAAATGAAAATCTATCCCATTCACTTGTATTTTTTGGGTGGAACTGACACCTAACCATGGTACAAGCACAGATAATGGTTCTTTCCACCAAACTCTCTATAATTTTTATTCACTCTTATCTGCTTCTAAGCTTCTAAATCTCCTGAATGCCCAGCAATTCCTGTTAACACAATACAGTAAAAAAAAAAAAAAAAAAAAAAAAAACAAAAAAAAAAAAAACCAAAAAAAACCCAAAAACCACTAGCTTATTAACAGGAATAATTATCAGATGAGACTTAAGTATTGCAAAGAACACTGTGTTATGTCATACCATACATTTTAATTTCTTAGAGACACAGTTTATATTCCTTAATGGTCTCCTTTTTTTATTCCAAATCTGTAATTACATTCACTGTAGCAGTTTAGTATTAGGCACAGCAGATCTTTCAGAATTAGGGACTTCCAGCTGTAATTATCACTACAGGAGAAATTATCATTACAGGAGATTTCTTTAAGTGAGGAAAAAACCAAAACTTTTCTTATGCCTCACATCGTATGTGTGGGTTTGATTTAACCATAAACTAAAATAAAACTCAAACATATTTTTCAAATCTAATTCAGGATGAATAATGGTTAAACTAGCACTATGTCATAGGACAACTTACAGTTTTCTGCTGGTGATGTGTAAGAAATTTTGGCATAAAACTGAACTCCTAAGTGCACCCTCAAAGTTTAAATATTTTGAGGGCCAAATTCTCTTCTCTGATATGTTATTCTAAATCTGAAGTAGATATGCTCAGGAGGCTAATTTGAACATACTCTTAAACTCAGAGCAATATTTGTCTTCATTCCTTCATGCTTGAAAAATGACTACTCAAAATGTTTTAAAATGTCGTGTTGGTCTCCCAGGACAAAAGGGAAATTTCAGCACCCTAATGCTTGTAAGTTCAGATAGGTCCTTTCTCCACTGTGGTGGACAATATGTAAGGAAAGAATAGTCGAGCAGACTTTTTTATTTCTCAAGATTCTTTAAATCTAATTACATGGAAGCTATTCTGGTTTTGAGGAAAGTGTTTGGATAAATGTAACAAAGAAAATCGAAGAAGAATGACAAACTATTCTAGTTCCCCTGACGTGGCATCCAAAAATAACCTGAAGCTGAATCTTGCCTTTGTGAAAATACATGCTTTCTTCATAAAAAAAGCTGACCACAGTTATGCATCAGAAGCAGGGGATGGTTATAAAAGAGATTACCCATTGAAGAGCTTTCATCAATAAAAAACTTTAAGACACTTCTTAGAGAAAAATATAAAATCACACTCAAGCATGAAAACTTCATGGAAATCAGGCAAGTAAAGGATGTTATGACAGAAATTTTAATCCTCCTGGATATAATAACTCTAAGGAACAACTTGTATTTTTAGTGACATCCTACCAGGAATCCTAGAAAATACAAAGCTTGCTTTTTGGGTAGTTGGAATTTCTTCTAAAGGTACTGTTAAGAGTGAGTGCTCATTCTCATTAGCCAGGTCACCAAGAAAAACAGGGACAGATCTGTGTGAGATAATACTTTTGAACATGTAGGGATAAAAGAGATAAGAAGCTAAGACAGCTAAAGTGTTGGTGAAACTGGTATTTCTATTGCATGGTAAGTGTTCTGGGTCATACAAGAACCATGACACAAATTTTCTAATGGTTAAGAACACATGACATGGAATACAACCCTGGTTATTAAGGGGCAAGAAAGACCTAAAGAGTCCATTGCAGGCAGGTCACAGCATCACACAGAGCTGTCCCACACAGCTGAGCAGGTTTGAGTGTCCACTCTATTCAGGCTTGCCCCTTTGCTCTGTGACAAAATCACAGGAAGTAGAGCACAACTCATTCCCATGGCATAGCTCTGGCCCGGGAGCTGTCCATGAACCACCTGCAGGCAACATCCAAATGGGAAATCACAGAACAAAGCCACTCTTGCTTTCATATCCCCTTTATGCATCTGAACTGAGTGGTGCATGAACAATGTCTGACAGGTAAGTGTTTCACTCCTCCTTTTCCTGCCTCATCAAAGATGCCCTGTGGGTGCTGTGCTTTTCCATTACAGCCTGAGCTAAATGAGCAGGACCCCATCAATCTAAGGAGCAGGTCCTATCCTCTCTCAGAGCTCACCCCTGGACATGTGCTGTAGCCACTTGCCCTGTGATGCCCCTAGAATTTACCCAGTGGTACTCCAGGTCAGCTTTCTCACAATAGAAATAGATAACCAAGCCCCTAAATGAAATAAAAGAAAGGTGAGTGTGGAGGTGCAGCTCAGTGAGTGGCTAGACTAAAGCTGGAGAGAGTCCTGAAAGTGAGGGAATGAGAGAACAGGAGGGGAAGCACATTTCAGTCCTCCTGCTATTTAACTCATTGACAATACAGAGTAGCATCCTCAGAAAAGACTCAAAGAAAAGAGAAAACACACAGAAATCATTTGTCTTGCATTCTCTGTTCTGTATACAGCACTACTCCAGATGCTTTTTGTTTCAAACAAAAGAAGTAATTAGCTGCTCAATTGTCTTTTAAATCAGACACTTGGGTTTGATTTTCAGCAGCTACAGACGATCAAAATACATAAGTCCAGTTTCAAATGCTTGGTTGAATACTCAACTGAATACAACTTTCCTGTCTGAGGGGAAGATAAGCCCTCTGTTCAGCTGATGATAGGTACTACCAGTTGGAGTAAAAAGCTGCCATTCATGTGTTGGTGACAGGAGTTATAGAAATAAGTTAATTACTTGTAAGAAAAGACTTGTCACAGTCCTCTATCCCAAAAAACAAGTACACACCATCATGAAAGGTACTAATTTGTATCCTTGGTATTGGTAACAAAAAATGAGATGAATATAAAAATGGGACTATTATTTAAACTAGGCTGGAGAGACAACTACCTTTGTGGCTGGCCCTAGGACACTGTACCTATGTCAGGGACAACTGGACAATTTCTCTAAGGATGTCCATCTGTTCCTTTTGTGTACAACATAGTTATTAAAAGTAATAACTAACAGAAAATACTATCTCACCGTGTATAATACTGATGGGTTTAAGAAAATTCCCCTTCAAAGTTACATAAATATTATGAAATATTTCTACTTTCTATAGTTAAATAGAATTATTTAGTTAAGAGCAAATATCTCAAATGGGAGAGGCTGCCGTTCAAAACAGAATTTTTTCCTTAAACCACCTGATAAGAGTAATTCTTGCAATAATTATGGCAAAATATAAACCTGAGACTAATTCTCACGTTTATACTACTCTATCTTTCATACTCTTGAAAAGAAGAATGTAAGACTTCATGTACTCTGCTGCGAAAAACCATTTTACTTTTTTTTTTCTTGGGCTGTGGTCTTGTCCACAGCACATAAAGAATTCAAGCCACAGTAAATAAACAGTTGTGACCAGTCATGCTGATAACCTGCAGCATCTTCTCCAGTCAGCACACAAATCCATGGCAATCTGGTTTGGGCTGCCTTTCCATAACTACCAGAGACTTTACGGTCTGAAAAAGCAAGAATATCTGGAAGCTCACTGGGACATTACAACCCCTTACAGACGTACAGTGCAATACCTGGAGCAGATCAGGCTAAGAAGCTTCCATGCCCAGAGCACTGTTTACTTTTTGATGGATAAATTTTAGCCCAGTTTCCTTAGAATGTGCAGCAATCTCCCTGCACAAGTGCCACCCTACCAATCAGTTGTTTGCTTATTAACTTCTCAATCTGTCACCTAACTTCAAGTTTTTTGAAAATGGAGCTTAATTTCATTTAAAACCGGCTACTGAACAGAAAAGAGTAAGTCTGCCAGTGAGACTTGAGGAGGGCTGCATCTCAGCTTCACCCATTACCAGCCATCAGCCACAAGGGCGCTCTCCAGGGACACAAATCCCTAAGAAACTGAACTTCCTTGGGTTTCCTCAGTTTGGTTTCTCTCCAGCCAAGTCTGTGGCAGGCAACAGGAGAAAAATATTAGTGGGCCACAGCCAGGGACAGTCACTAGCTTCTCCTTTTTTGCGGCACTGCACCATCCTAACTCACACAAAGCCCTCAGGCAGCTCCAGTCCAGGAGGAAATGCTTTTGCATGGCTCTGCATCAAGCCTGGCAGTGTCAGTCTCCTGGGCAAGGACAGTGGGACTGTCACCAGGCAGCTGTGCTTGGCCCTGAGCTGTGTCTCACCAGGCAGCTGTGCTTGGTCCTGAACTGTCCCTGCTGTCCCTGCCGGGCCTGCTCCGTGCCAGTGCTGCAGTGCTCCCTGCCCCGTCTGAGCATCCCCCAAAAGGCGAAATAAGCCCCATGCCCAGCTCTGTCTGCATCTTTTGCACCTGCCCTGTGAAGCTAGAGAAGTGCAGCACATGGGAACCAGCAAAGTTGGAGAGGAAGTTTAAAGGAGTACGTCCAGAGAGCTGTTGCTCAGACAGGTCATTTATTCTCTTTGTGCCCATCAGAGCCGCACTTCTAAGACTGGGGAGAAACAGGGCTCCTCCAGTGCTGGGCTGCAGTACAGGGAAGTTGGAAAGCTTGCTCTGAGGGGCTCTAGCTCAATGGTGGTCGCAGCTGACCCCCCCGGCCGAAGGTGCCGAAGCCCCAGTGACCCTGTCCTCCCTTCTGTCTCGGATACCCCACAGCTCGGGCCGGGGAGCGGGGCTGGGCTGTGCTGCCCTCAGCGGGGCTCGAAGTCAGCAGAGGCAGAGCCCCCGCCGCGCTGCCCCGGCAGTGGGAGCGCATCCCCGACCCGCGTTCCGCTCGCCCGCTCCCTCCCTCCCGCAGCGGGACGCGCCGGCCAAGGAGCCGTCGGGCTCGGCCTCCGGAGGCAGCGGCAGGGACGGGATCCGAGGGGGCTGCATCCCGGGGCTCCTGTCTCTTACCTCCGTGCCGGGCGGCGGCGAGGAGCCGCGGGGGCGGCGGGGCGGCGGCGGCGCGGGGCTCTGTCGGAGGGGCACCGCCGCCGCTGTAGCGCCGGGAGATCACCCGCTCCCTGCGCGGCGGGCGGGGCGGCAGCGGGCGGCCCTCGTCGCCCAGGGCTTGCAGGAGGATGTCGAGGAGCGCCCCCCGCTCGGCTCCGGCGGCGGGCACGTCCCTGCCCTCGGCGCCCGGCGGCGGCGGGGCCGAGGCCAGCAGCAGGAGCACGATGGCGGGCAGCGCCTGCCGCTTCTTCGCCCCTCGCATCTCTGCGGCGCTGGGAGGAGGCAGAGAGCGAAGGCGGTCAGCGCCGGGCCCGGCCCGCACCCCACCCGCCCGCCCCCCATGCCGCGCCCGGGGCACCTCCGCCCGCCGCTCCGCGCCCGGGGCCGGGCACAGGGGGCGCGGAGCGGGGACACCGGGGGGCGCGGAGCGGGGACACCGGGGGGCGCGGAGCGGGGATACCGAGGGGCCGCCACCCGCCGGCCCCGCCAGCCCCGTGCGGTGCCGCCGCGCTCGCCCAGCTCCGCTGAGGCTGCGTTTAATAGACACGGATAAGGGGAAGGTTTTTGAGCGCGCCGCACATGTTCGCGGTGCGGGGTTTGGGGGGGATTTGCTCTGCTCCCTTTGGTTCCGGAGTCCCCGCGCCCGCGGGCTCTGCCGGCGGAGCCCCCGCGATGGGCCAGCCTTGTCCACCGCCACACCGGGGGTTGGAGGAGCGAGCACGGACGGCAATCGGATGGAGTTCACTGAGAGGCAGGTTACATTGGAAGTGCCGCGCATCAGGGTAGAAAGGGCAAAAACAATTACCACAGGCTGCGGCTTCGAGAGCAGCACTTAATGCCCTAAGTAAGCTATTCTAATTATAGAGAACGGGCAGGATTAAGAGGGAGGGAGGGAAATTCTGTTATTTACAAACTGTTTTCTAGCTGGCCTGCCTTGCAAATCCTCTTGGGCGAAGGAGTTAATCGGAGCCTCAAGGGAGCCGGCTTTCCCCGACGGCTCCGGGCTCTCCCTCCCTCTGTCGCTCCCTGCCGTGCCGGGGCGCACGGCAAACTCGGGAGTACCCGGGGAGCGACCCGCGGCTCGCTGCCGGCGCAGCGGCACCTCCTCGTTCCGCGCCGAGACCCCCTCCGGAGAGCCGGGGCTGGCTGCCGCTTACCTTCAGGCAGAGGCGAGCGCGGCCGGGTGCGAGCGGGCTGCGGAGCGAGCTGCGGTGCCGCCGGCGCAGAGCCCGAGTGCCCGCGGAGGCTCCGCCGGGCGCGGAGTGGGGCGCTCGGTGCTGCGCCCGGAGATGGGGGATGCGCCCTTCAGGGCCATGCGCTTCTCTTATATAGTCCACACCGGCGTACTCATCTGAGTACTATCGACTTTAGGTGGGTGGCAGTCGATGGAGACACCTCTGGTAATCACTCTTGGGCTCAGAGAGGGTCTTTTCTGACAAACTTCCTCCTCCCCGTTTGTCCCCCGGTGGATGGCAACTGAAAGCTGCGTTTGAAGTGACTCTGATCTATTCGTGAAATTAGATTTCCCCGAAGATTGGGGAACGCTTACTAATAAAGCTGCCTGCTCAAGAGATTAAAATGTGCATTAACTTAGCGGGATTCCCTTGGGAGTACAACAAGGAAACTATTTAATTCCCCCCTTTTTTTATTGAACCAAGAAGCCATGAGCAAAGTCTGAAGTGTGTATAAATTTGGTTCTGCTTTGATGTCAAGGAAAGTGGTAGTCTGTCTTTGGCAGGTGAATTCACAAACCACGAACCTTGTAAAAGTTTGCTTCTTCAAAACAGCTCTTTTAATTTTTGACAATGACCCTTAATGAAAAGCTAACAAAAAAGGTAGTGACCTAACAAAACCACTAAACCCACAGGTTTAAAAACTTGCCTCCTAAAGCCCTGAATAGATAAGGCAAAAATTAGTCAATAAAATCTCAACTTTTAGAGAGCAGTTGTATCCAGGTGGTCTTGACAAATTGAAAAGCAATACACATTTTTCAAATTTTACCAGACAATATTTTATGTTGGTATTTTTTTTGCAAGTATAACTCTTTGTCATAAGTTACCACTTAGATATTTACTTAATAAGAGTGGGACGAAAAGAAAAAAAGATTTGAGATGTCCTGTAAGATGTGAAAATGGGGAATTTAGATTTGAAAGAGATTTAAACTACTCTGAAACTGCCTGGCACACAACATTTCTCTACGAACTTTGTCTCTTTTCCCAAGCTCCTTCATTCATACCCTTCCCTGGTTGTCTCAGGCAGCACACGCTCTGGGCTGTATCTCACAGGGACTGTGTCATTGCTGGTGATGGGAACCAGCTTCTTCCCCACATCATCCTCTGCTTGGGCCATCCTCACTCACCTTTGGGGGTGTGATCCCACAAAGATTGGAGATCAAACCATGTTTAAATAATAAAAGCATACAAAGGGTTTTATCACACTAAATTTTTTAGAGCTCAGTGTACTGCACAAGATACACTGGTCTGACCTGTGGATTCCCAGGATAACTGAAGCAAGGTGTCATTCTATTTCCTCCTAGGTGATTTCCTGCTTTTGCATCTTTACTGGGTGCATATAAGGAGTTTACTTTTGTCAGGCTGATGGTTAAGTTCAGTGAGGAGGGAAAGGGGAGCACTAATCAGCTGAGAAATAAAGCAGCATATTAATAAACCAGCTGCAAAATAAATCCAAAATTTTCTCTCCATTTGCTCATTTGTTTCTATTATTTTATTATTCTTTTATTTTGCCCTCAGAGACATATATTGACACCACAGAATGGGACTGAATTTCTCTATGGAACCTACCAGAGTATTGCCTTGACTGGCGCTCCTCTGCACAACTTCATTACTAGTCATGGACTAGGTTTACATCTTCTAGCCCTGGAAGCAGGTCACATGGGAAGGAAATCCATGTGGCACTGCTAAGAAAGAATATTTTTGCTGCTCATAAAAATCCCAAAGTCTTTATCGGATGTCTGTTTGAGGCAGATGGCAGGATACTCATAAGTATTAAAAACGGTATTGTAAAAGGCAAGCAATTAGCCCTCTATTCTCACCCACATCTCCAGAGAATATCTAAGGGAGTCTGCAGACTAGCATGGCTGACTATCTAATGTTTATGGACAACATCCTGTGGCTGCCAGTTTGGGGAATTTCTAACCCCTTCAGCAAAGATTCTCAAATATGTCACCCCACGCAGCAGGTTCCTAAGATAAAAATGCTGCTACAAATACTAAGGCCATTAAATTTTGGTCTTTAATTTAAATGTTGATTATTTTAAGCTTTAAATGTTTATTATTTGAACATTTGTATTGGAACCCAACTAGGCCCTTTATGAGCCACCCAGTTTCACCCCTGTCCTTTACCTCTGCTGTAACTTGTTTCTCCCCTTTGGAAGATCTGTATCCTTCTTTCCTGGGATGGACATTATCCCCACCCAGAGGGCAATGAACTGTTTTATAATTAGTTTTAAGTTAGACAAAATAAACAGGTAGGTTACTTAATTGCTTATCCTTTTTTATGTTATCTTTTGGTATTTTCAAAAGAATAATCAAGAAGGCTAGAAAACAAGAGTGGGCATCCCTGCTGAGAAGCTTGAGAGGCAGATCTATCAGCCCTTGAAGTTACTGTAGAGATTTTCATCCGCTTCTGTAGGAGTTGGGACAAGCATTAAAACGAAAAGAACCAATTAGAAGCATAGCACATCTCAATCAGAAGTTTTAAGTAGCTTTTTCAGATTCTCTCTATGCTCAAGAACCTTAAAGTCTTGTGTAAAAACAAAACAAACAAAAAAGATTTGTTTTCTATAATTGTGCAAAGCCTTGTCTCCTTTTAAGTTGTTTTGATATGCGAATTCATCAGAGAGCAGTTGAAAGAAGGAAGACCAGACTGCATCCAGAGGATGATGTTTTACTAATCCTGGGCAATTCTGGCAGGATGAAACCCCATTCTCATTGGCCCTTTTGTTAGCAGCTCTAGTGTTTCTCCTCATCATTATATGGAGAAAGCATCTCAGCATGAGATTTACATCAAAGAGAACATCTTAGGGCTTCTCTCAGTATCTTATTTAGAAACAGAAAACCTGTTCGTAGTGAGGCTAAATAAGTCTGGTTATTTGCTTCCTGAAGCAAACAGATTTAAACAGGTACATCACATTATTTTTCCTCTGACATCTTTTTATTTTCTGGTGTGCCTTAGCCACAAGTATGTCTGATTGAAGTTAAAAGCAAACTAGTTATGTTGAAGTATCATAGGGCTGACAGAGACTCAGAGAGATGATCTAGTGCTTTCCCTTGCTCAAGGCAGAGACAACTGTGTCTATGTCATCAGGGCTCAGCAAAAAAACTTTTAATTTCTCCCATTAAGCTCAACACTTCATCACAAATCCATTAAATGAAAAATTGCTAAATGTGGGTTTAGAAGTGACATTTTACCTTGGGATTTACACTGAAATATAAAAATTATCTAAATGTATTCCCAAAGTGCACACTCAAATAAAAGTCAGGCTAAAGTGATTTAAAATTTAGGTGTCTTGCTGTCTCTACATAAATCTGTCAGCCAAAGATTTCCATGGCCACTCATCTAAATCAAGAAGAAAAACAGAGAATACCTGTTTCTGTTGAAGTTCATGGGAATTTTCCTGTTGACTTTATTGAGCAGGGATTTAATGCAGGGTTGTTACTAAAGGAGAGGCGAAGAAGTGAGAAATCACCTCAAAAATATGAATGTATTAGCCAAGGCAGTAAACTGTAGTAAACTAAAGGCAGTAAACATTCAAAAATACGAATGTATTAGCCAAGGCTGTTGTAATTTCTGATAAGTAACAGAGGATTCCAGCTGTTTTCAGATCACAGCATTTCCTTAAAATCAGAGTTTTTACACAGCCATACCCATGTGTGTCTGTTGAGGCTCAGTGCAGAGGACTTGATCAGATGGCCTTTTGAACACTTTTTGCAGTCCTTTGTTTCTATCAATCTATGGAGGTTTTTTGTGAGTGGCTTTTAAAGCACAGGTCATGCTAATGAACTGTCTGATGGGAAGGCCATGCAGCTAAAGAAGCAAAACAGTGTCACTAAAAGAAATGTGAGAATCAGTGTGCTGTATTTATATCTTAAATGAAAACTTAGTGCATCTCATAACTTGGTGTTACTTTTTGAACATTTTTGGTAGAAGTAGCACAGCAGAGAATTGTGGCATGTTCTTAATTGAACTCTAGATAGAGGCTTCCAGTGGTTATTCCATATAATGAAGATCATCATCATTCTCA